ACAAGAACAGAGTTGACAGAGTTCAGGGCGCGGCCAAGAGGAGGACACGGCCCAGCTACAGAGCCCAGCCACAGAGTTGACAGAGGTCAGGGGCGCGGCCAAGAAGGCCCAGCCACAGAGCCCAGCCACAGAGTTGACAGAGTTCAGGGGCGCGGCCAAGACGAGGACAAGAGGAGGACAAGGCCTGGACACAGAGCCCAGCCACAGAGTTGACAGAGTTCAGGGGCGCGGCCAAGACGAGGACAAGAGCTCCTGAGATATAGCTTAGAGTTGGCCGTTTAAAGGCAGAAGACATTGCCCGCAAAAAGCAACAGCCAAAGAAGAAAAAGTTCAGGCAAAAAGCAAAACGGACAACTCAATGCCTTCATGCATCCTGGCTTTCTGTCCATCGTGGCAACGTTGTGCTGCCGAGAGAAGGCCTCCCTGACCAGGTCTTCACCCTGAGAAACTGCGTGGAAGCCTGTCCAGCTGTCAGCAGGGAACATTCCCTTGGTGCTTCCAGACAAACTGTGTTTCCTTTGAAGCTTGAAAGCGTCATTGTACAGGTTCGTCAACAGCTCGTTGAAGGTCTGGCTAGTCATAAAGTGACTGCTACCCTCTGAATACAGGGCATATGCACGACCTCGGTACTGCTCGTTGAAGCTCCTCACATCAGCTTCCCTCACCATTCCTTGTGGAATGTGTAGAGCGATTGGGCCAGGTGTCATGTCACCCCAAGAGGCAGTCATTACTGTGATGCTTTTCCTGGCCTGTTGCACATTTTGGTGCACTTGGCTGGCCGACGGCTTCTTGGTCTTCTTGGATTTGGCCCCAATGTGATTCCTGTTCTTGCGCAAACAATAATTTGCTCCTGCATGTCCAGAGCGCCACACTTGATCGATATTGAGCACCAGCCTCACATCCAACACCGATTTCAGGCGCTCAAAGAAATTGGCTCTGGCTTGCACCATCAATGGGTGATCGATTGCCAAATACACTCCCTTGGTGTTAGGCTTGGGCCTAGACCATCCAAAGCGACGTAGCCATTCGGATGCCCACTGTTGCTGATCTCCTCACAGGCCCTCCTCAATTTCTTGGGGAAAGCGTGAGCAGCGGCTGTTGCGGACATCTCTTCCTGGGAAACCTGTCTTTGAACCTCAGCCTTGAAGTCATTCAATTGCTGGGAGGACAAGGCCTGGACACAGAGCCCAGCCACAGAGCCCAGCCACGGGCGCCTTTCCTTTCTAAGATAGAACCCCAACAGTAAACCGTTTGGGGAACAAGAGGAGATCAAGGCCCAGCCACACAGTTGACAGAGTTCAGGGGCGCGGCCAAGAGGAGGACAAGGCCCAGC